GTGTGTGTGTGATTCATTTTATTTATGACAATTGCAAGTAATATTTATTCGTTTGTCGGTAGATTTCATTTAAATGGAATGATATTTTGGTGGATTTAATGTAACGCCATTGTCACAAACACACACACACACACATACACATACACATTCTATAAGATATTAAATTAACATTTAACACAATAGCAACGACGACGACAATGACGAGAAAATTTTCGACGTGCCTAAAAAACGTAAATTAAACAGTCAAATGGTTGAAATGGATGAAGAACTTTTCTCTCTCTCTCTCTCTCTCTCTCTCTCTCTCATAAATAGTTTTCAGGTTGCTTTGGAAACTTGCCTACCCGGCAACGTCCGTCAGGGTGGGTGGGTGAGGGGTGAGGAGTGAGGGGGGAACTGAACTGTCCATTAAATCACCGGGTGCGGTCCTTCATCGAAGACGAGTCGCCCTAATATCAGTGAACAAATTAATCACAAATTCAACGGGCCGTCACGCGTTTTAATGATCTTTCACGTTGTTATTTCAAACTTTAATTCTGCACTACGTGAAAATTTCTCCGATATTTTCTTTTTCTTCTTTTTTTATTTCTCATTTCTTCGTTTTCTTTTTGCCGAGAAAATTGACAAATTCTACGGGGGGTGGGAGTTGGGGGGGTTACAAATTTATCAACAAATTTGATTTATATTTGATATTAAACAATTTTTACATTTAATTCATTCTCGTTAAAATAAAATCGATTATTCTATCAACATTATATCGAAATATGTAACTTTCTGACGTATATATGCCTTGCAATCATTAAAATAATATACTAAGAGAAGTAATTATCAAGAAAAAAAAAGGAAAAGCTTGTAAGAGAACAAAGCGAGATAAATTACTTTCTTTTTTTTTTTTTCCTATTTTCTAGAAATTATATTTTAACAAACACTTTAAAAACACGAGAACATTAATCTTCATTTTACAAAATGTAAATACCAAATAAACGTAAAGTTCAACGTGAGTCGTATACAACCACGTACCACCACCACCACGTGCCACGGAACGTGTTGTTAATCATTTTATACAAAAAATTAGAAGGATCTATTATTTCAAACGTAATAGAAACGACGAATTATTATTCAATCTATCCTATCAAGTGATAGAAGAAAGAACGTCGTTATTATTACATCTTAAATAAAATCAAATTCACATTAAAAAAAAAAAAAAGAAATGGCAAATGATCGGAGAACATTTTAAATTATTTAGTATTTTCTCTCGTCCAAAATTATAATTTTTAATGATAAAATTTCATAGGGAACTTGGACATGAAAAGAAGTTTTGTTGAGAACTTTAAATAATAACGATCGAATTAACGAAGTTTAGATGTGTTGTGTTTGGAATATTAACAAAAAGAAAAATGTATGTCGAATTAAAGAAAAAACACGCTGAACTTTAAAGATTAAGGTAATATGTAGAAAAAATTATATATTGTATGAACCTCATGTATCGTAATAAGAATTTATAATAAAATAAAATTTCCAGTTGCTGAAGAAGTTCCAATAAAGGGACGAAACGTCCAACTCAATCAAATTAAGTTCTACTTCTTTTCATGTCCAAGTTTCCTACGAAATTTTATCATTAACAATTTTTAATTATTATAGTTGAACAGTATAAAAAAAAGAAAAAAAAGAGAGAGAGAGAGAGAGAGAGGGTGACATTTTTGTCGAAGAAAATCCTTCATTTCTTAAAAGACATTTTCGTTCGAGTTATTATTCCATTCGAAAGGAGCTTTTCCATTTTACCGAACTGCGGAGGAAAATGGTGGAAAGGGTGGGATCGGGGGGGGTTTGTAACAACGATGCCAAGAAAACACGATTTAATTCGAGCGTCCACGTGCTCAATTGTTCCTAATTTAATTGCTTTCCTCGTTAAATTTCATCTCGTCGCCAGAAAAGACGTTTCCACGCGAACGGAAGAACGTTTCGGTAGAAGAACAACGTTCGAAAGGATTCTTGTCAGCACCGACGACCTGTCGCACATAATGATCTTATGGAAGGAAGCATAATAATGTCATTATAAAATGAAATGAGAAAGACAAAGACATAGAAGGGGAGAAAAAGAAAAAAAGAAATGAAATTGGAGAAAAAGATAGTCAACTAAAATCACGTTTTAAATTTGCAATCGTGTTAATTCATTAATTCGTGTATTACGTGTAATTCATTGAATTGAAAATAAATGAATCAACGTATACGCATATATATATATATATGACGATGATTTTATATTAATTTAAATTTTATATTAATATAAAAAAGAACAAAATCATTTACGTTTATTATCAATTTAACGTTTGAAAATATAATTTTTATTTGAAATTTTCTCATCGTTTAATTGAATGTTTTGATCATGGTATATATCGTATTATATATAGAAAATATTTTTCTAAACACGTTACATACACATATGCACGTACCACAAGAGTTTCAACATATATGATAATTAAATGCATTTAATAGCGATGACGATATTTCTTGTTGCATACGTAGACATTAATCATAGGAACGTCTCTGCATTCCGGTATCATAATCTCAACGCTAATCGATTTTAACACGCATAATATGACGTGTCAAAGAGGTATGACGCGGATCTGAGATCACGTTGCACAAAGGGATATTAAATGAACGGCCTTCGTGTGTGTATTTCATTTATGATCATCTTTCTTCAAGTATTTCAAACATTTTCTCATCTTGTTTCTTTTTTTTCTTTTTTCTTTTTTATTTTTATTTACGTTAAACGAGTATTGGCGTTTAATATCATACGATGAAAAATGTTTATTGTAATTGATATTAAATGTAAAATAAAATACGATTGATATCAACGTAATTTATTCGAATGTTTTCAAACGTTTTATTGAAAACTTTAATAATAATGTTAATATAATCAAGATTTTTTTTCTTATCGAAAATTTATTAATATTATTACTAAGTTTACTCTTAGGGAGGTTGTTTTTTGGACGGATTTAATTAAGATGAACACTATATTTATCCGTTGAACGTTTCGTCTCTATTTGAGACTTCCTCAGCAACTAAAATTATTTATTATGACATATTATTTTATATACAAATACCAAAAAGAACTTACAATTCATAGCGTTATTTTACCTTGATAGTTATGTTCATAAGTCAATATAACATCATTTTAACATAATTAAACCCGTCCAAAAAACAACCTCCCTAAGAGTAAACTTAGTAATAATTTTAATAATAATATGACAAATCATTCGATCGGAAAGGAAAAATCTTACTTCTTTGTGATTACGTGTCGTATAATCATATTACGGATAAAGAATAAACTGTTTCTTTATGGAAACACAAATTTTTTTACCTTTATAAATGTTGCTTATCGAAATATTTATGTACGCATAATGCATTCCGATAAGTATCAAATCGAATTTTCGATAAAATGATATTTACATATCATTATTAATACACCAACACACGAAATATACATTTTGATATCATTAGAATGCACGTTTGTGATTATTTCGTAGACATTCGTGTAATGTAATATTACGAAATCTTAAAATTCAATGAAAATTATGAACGTGCGCGTGAAACAGTTCTATATAGTTGCATATATGAAATATTATTTTTTCTTTTTCTTTTTCTTTTCAGATGCGTCATCCGATTCAAATGAAACCGGCAGATAGCGAGAATAGAAACGGTAAGAAATAAAAAAGATATACTTACAATTTAATATTATTTCACACGTCGAAATACGATTGATTAAATGCATGTGAAATATCGTTAAATCTTTATTGCAGTTTTATTCTTAAACTAATCGATACAATCAATTGTTAATTGTCTTCCTTAGAAAAATATCTTTTCCATTTTTAACTTACGTTAATTTAATATCGTTCGATTCGTAATAAATTCGTGTATTCGATTCGTATGATATATTTCTAAAAGAATGATCCTTCAAAATATCCTGTTAACCATTCATTTACGATGTAAAACGTAGTTTGTTCCAAAAAAAAAAAAAAAACAACAGAGAAAGTGAAAGAAAGAAAAAAAGAAAAACAAGGAAGATTCGTTAATAATCTACAACGTTAACTTAATAGGAAACGTAGTAACGAAAATTGTGTCACATCTTCTCGTAGAATATCATGAAAGAACTTAGAACTTTCCTCGGATTTTGAGAATACAGTTCAAAGCGTACTAATTAAGTATTAATTAATTAGATAAATCGAGAGATTGCATAATCAAAGAAGATACGACATATACATACACGTGAAACATTAAATATGACAAAGATAATCATGAAAAAAACTTATAGATCAAAATATTAAATAGTAAAAAAAAAAGAAACAAAAGGGAAGAGCAAAGTATTAATAAAATAAAATAAAATAGAGAAGAAAAAAAAAACAGGTAAAAGGAAGAAAACGTATAATAGACGCTGAAGAGAGAAAAACAAAAAAATCTGAACAAAGAAAAAACGAATTAAATTGGCCTACTATAAAAATAGGAGTGTAATTTAATCAAATTTTCATCGGTTGCAACTACTTCTTAGACGAATAGAAAGAAGAAAAAAAAGTAGAAGAAGAAGAAGTGGCAAAAAAAAAGAAAAAAAAGCAAAGTAATCTTCACGAATCCTTACTTATTTTTTTATTCATGTGCATACGAGGGCCTCGATGTAGAAAACTTAAGGGGGAAAAGTTGAACAAAAATGAGAAAGAGGGAGAGAGAGAGACAAAGAAAGGATGGAATAACGTCGGGAAGAATAAAAGGAAGAAAAGGGAGGAGGACGGGGGGGAGGAGGAGGGGGGGAGGGTTAGGTAGGCTTATAAAATCTGTGCGTCAGAGTCAGTGCGAAAAACGAATGCTAATGAAATATTAACGACACCCGTCACGTGCTACGACGGTAACCGGCTGGGTCGGTGGTGGTAATGCTTTTTTGTTCTGTCCTGTGTTTCCTTTTTATTTTTATTCTTTTTTTTTCCTTCCCTCTCTATTCCCCTCTTTTTTTTCTCCCTCATTTTTCTTTTTCACATACGAATCGTAGAAGGACTACACAAATAGCGTTACAAGTGGGCATAGAGAAAGAATAGTTCCGGTACGCACATGTTACATTTAATATATGTACAGTTGCCATGTTTGAGAGTGTATGTGTGTGTATATATTATGATAAAATTGTGTATGTTCCTCTTATACAAATATTATGCGTCTTTTTATATATATATTTTTTTTTGATTGTATGTTATGTCTATAAACAGGATACATTATCTGTCAAAATTATTCGATCAATTTACATAACGATTAAAAATAAACATTTCAGTTAACGAACGTGTTTTTCTTATAATTTATAATATAAAACAAAGAAAAAATATTACATTAGTCAAAAAATACAATTTGGAAATCGACAGATACTTCGTTGAATTTTCTATTAATGTAGAAATGTAATTCGTGCATTTAGTGTACGTGTCACGAATGAGTGCATACATATCTCTTATATGCGTTTTGTGTGCATCATTTCTGTAAGTAAAATAATTCGTGCAGGTAATACACAGATGAGAATATATATATATATATATATATATATATATATATATA